AGGTCCAAAGCATGTTCATATCCCAAACGACATGAATATCCAGAGTTCTGATACCCATTTAAATCCACATCTCCCTTTCATTGAGGTCAAGCCTCATATAGGCTCATGAGCAATCCATCATTGACGCCAAATGCGGACGTTATGACCATTTGCAATCCTCCACACTATTCCTTTCTTCAAAATGTCCAATACATGGTTGATTGATTGCCAAGTGGACGATGGATTACCTGTAAACAATGTGTGCTCGAGTTTTTCGTTTGGATAATACTTTGCTTTCAACACTCTCATGTAGAGGCTCTCCAAGTTTGTTAGGAGACGCCAAGCCTGCCTAGCCAATAGCTCTTGATTGAGCAAACGAAAGTCCCTAAAGCCAAGTCCACCTTGATTTTCAGTCTAGTCATTTCTTCCAAGCTTACAAGGGAGTTTTTCTTTTTTTCCTTTCTTGGCACCCCGATAAAAATGATGATCCATGTGATTAAGGACGTCAGAAACCTCAAAATAAATTTTAAAGGCACTCATGATATAGGTAGGTATGGCTTGTGCAACAGACTTAATCAAAACTTATTTGCCTACTTGAGTAGGGTGCCCATCAAAGGAGAACAAACTTTTAGTGACTTTAACTTGAAGGGTTTGAAACTTCCCTCTGGTCATCCTCCCATCCAGGGTAGGCATCCCTAAATACTTGTCTTTGAACCTGGTAGAAGTAAACTGTCACTAATTCTTTACAATACTCATAAAGACATTTGGGCAGGAGCTCCCAAAAAGAAGGGAGCATTTAGATGGTTTGAGGAGCTGACCAGTAACCTATCCATAAATCTCTAGATTGCCTCTAACATGAATAGCCTGTTGTTCACAAGCTTTGAAGTATAAAACAGTGGTGTCACCAAATAGGAGGTGCGAAATCCCAGTGGGGCTTGTGTAATATTGAAAGGAGATATATCATTGGAATCAATTCCTTTATTGCTATGAACAAAGAGACCATCAATGAAAAATAGAAATAATAAGGGGATAATGGATCACCTTGTCGAAGCCCTCATGAAAGTGAATGAATCCAAGATGGCTCCAGTAAATTTTACACAGTATCTCAATTAGGTCATAGAAGACATTATATAATCGACCCAACGGTGAGAGGAACCAAAGTTTTGCATTATTTGCCTATGGTAATTCCAGTCCACCCAATCATAAGCCTTCAAGAGATCAAGCTTATAAGCACATAAATTTTTGGTGGGATCCTTTTCTTGTTTAATGTTATGAATGCACTCAAAGGCTACCATTGCATTACCAGTTATTATATGCCTTGGGATGAAAATGTTTTGAGACGAAGAAATAATATCATCAAGCACAGTTGATGGTGTCCAGATGACCAACTAGTGGGCCACATTTATAGGCCTCAAAGAGGAATCAAGATGGAATCTTCCGAAGACTTGACACATACTCCAAGGCATAAATACAATCTTTGGCAAGTTTATCTTCAGATGTAACCTACCTATGTGTAACCCTAGGTACCCACGGTGTCAATATAAGCCAAGGGGTTTAGATCGTAGAGGCGGTCTCATTCATACACGATCTCGAGGTAGATAACTTGTACTCTGTACCACATTCATAATCAATACAAACAAAGCATGACACTGTGTCCCACTTGTGTCATGTTACCATCGTGCCAAGACTATCTGAGATCTGTCGGATTCTACTATGTCAATAGGTCCAAGCCTATTTACTAGACACTTTTAGACCGCTTTATATATAACATATATTGCACAAACTGATAGGTCTAAAATATGTGATTTTGATAGGATTAGGGATTTTTGAAATCATCACAATAACCATATCATTTACCTATGGGGGCATAACACCAGTTCTAGAAAATCCATTTACCAAGCGATGATACCTCCCTTCATTGCAGCCCAGTTGCGCTAAAAGAAACGAGCGGGAAACCCATCCGGTCCCGACGCCTTAAGGGACTAATCTGGAAGAGAGCATCCACAATCACCTTATATGAGAACTCAGTGTACAAAGCCATGTTGGTCGCCTCACGTACTAAAGGATTAATCAGATCAATAATCCTTGAGGATCAAGGTCAGGATCAGCTGAAAAATGTTCGCAGTAATATCCTCAAGCTTCCTTATTCTATTATTTTAGCCCGTCAGACTGATTTAGAGCGAAAGATTTTTGTATTCTGATGACCATCCTTGTGCCTAGCAATACGCGAACGTTGCAAACACATTAACTCCTCCCCATATAGTAATTCACTCATCTTGTCTGTTACCCTACATGTCTCAACTCTATCAGCACTTATGAGCATAACTTTCTCCATGGTACAAGTCTTTTCAATCTCAAGTGTAACATTACCAAAATTATTTTGCCCCATGTGCGAAGCTTACGCATAGTACCCCGGATATCACCATCTTTGAGACAAGCAATATGAGAACGTTGTAACCACATTAACTCGTCCCCGTATAGTAATTCATTCATTTTGTCTGCTACCGTGCGTATCGCAACTCTATCATCATTTATGAGCATAAGTTCCTCCGATCCATGGTACAGGACTTTTCAATCTCATGTATAACATTAGAAAAAATGTTTTGCTGCATGTGCAAAACTTGCTCATAGTACCCTGGAGAGCATCATGAACGTCACCTAAAGAATGCTTCAAGCAGGCGGTGGCCCGGGCATGTGCAATAACGTCTTGAAGCGATGCATCCCGCTCCCACATTATTTCATACTGCCTAAGTCTCAGTTTTGCAGGCCGGCCCTCCACAAGATCACAAACCACATGCAGTGGCACATGGTCCGAATATGGGGAGATGAGGTGGGATACACAAATATTAGAAAGCATCTGCCCTGTGGGCCGTGTCATCAAGGATAAATGCTCAAATTATTCCACACACACACACACTAGTTAAAGCCCAAGACAAGCCAAGTAGATTGGATTGAACATTCAAACCTTGCAGGAGAGAGCACACGAGGTGGCGATGTTCAACTCTTGGCTCTCTGTAAACACAAATTAATCTTCACAGGGGGCTCATTTGGCGCAGCTCGAACATGTGCATTGATGCATCGGTGGCTTGAAAACACAACATCCACAAGCATAGATCGATTCATGCCAAAATAATGACAAACCACCACTATTACCTTCATTGGGTACACCTTCAAAACGCTTGCAAGCCCATTCTAGTTGGGAACCTCTTCATTCTAACTTCCGATTGACGAGCTTCACATGGGTAATGCGACTGTACCACCGTCGCAATATCAAGAATTGCCCCCTCCCCCCAATCCCGGCAGTTCAAAGTTATATAAACCAGAGCCCGCCGATCTCTGGTTTGCCATCAAACTTTTTCCTTTTGTTCGGATCCCTTTTTGGTGTTGTAGACATATGTAGGTGCAGTTGAATGTATGTACGATGAAAAAAGGAAACATAGATGGATTTCCCTCATTT